TACGCCTCAAACCCTTCTTTCTGAATTCTCTATTCTTTTCATCCTCCCAGATCCGAATTTCCACCAACAGATTTTAGAATCATGAGTGATTTTGATTTAAAACATCACACTAGATTTAGAATCATCCAAACTAAATAATAATTATGAATTATGATTTAAAATCACTATAAACAAACATTAATTTTAAATCAAAATTTAAAATTATGATTCTGAATGCATCTATTAAACGTCATTTTAATCTCTATATACATCAATGTACGACTATATCTCCTTATATACTCGGAGGCCCCAGCCTGCGCGATCAACCCATCTAAATACACAGAATATTATCATGTTCTATGTATAAAAAACCCGATCTAGTCTATACAAACTATTATTGTAAAGTTGATTACGGATGAAATTAAGTAACAACGTAATTCAAAGCGGATAATCCCTAAATTTGAAGAAAAATGTTTAATTTGGAGTGGACACACGGCGGCCTGCCAAAGTTGGCCTTTTCTGATGGCATCAGCTGCCTTTTCAACACGTTGCTAGACTTGCATCATCGTTAATACCTCAGCATCATAGAAAGAAAGTTTTTTTTTGTGGCCCCACATCTAGATCATAAGATAAGTCTCTGCTCTGAAAAAATAAATACCCGTTTATTTTATCAATTTAAGTTTAAAATTTAAATTTTGTTATAGTAAAAAGTTCTTAAAAATAGTTATTTTTAATTTTTTTATTATAAAAAAAATTCTCATATAAAATTACATCTCAACTCGAATTAAAAATTTAAATCAGCGAACTAAATGGGTTCAAAATAAACCAAAACATTATATTAGGTAACTCTTTCGGTTTATAAATTTAAATATAAAATTTAAATTTTTATATGAAAAAATATTATAACAAAAATATATAAATTATATAGAAATAAAAAATTCAATATGATAATTGAGTTTTTCCTTTCTTTTCTTGTTTTAATATATTATCGACGTTTGGAAGATTCAATAATAATTTAGATTTCAAACAAATTTTCGGTGTTACACGTGTGAAACGTCATGGGTATTATAATATGAGTCGTGGTTAATGCATCTATAAGCTCGTTTACTATAACGTACAAGCAAAAGATACGTATGACGATGTAACGAAAATAAAAATAAGGAATAATGGTGATCGTAATTAACTCGCACGTGAGAATACAACTATTATCGTTCCTAATGGAAATTTAGAGCAACCACGTACTCTAGCAAAAATAACTAATGTGAACCGTCATTACCTCCTTTTTTAGGACTCTTTAAACATGTAGCAAAATTTAAATAGTGAAATTTAAATGAGGCAATGAAGAAAACTAGCACAAAGCCGCAATAGGTGCAATATATAAATAGGGGGTTCTGTACCATAAGTATATATACGACCTGCCAACACTAATATATAGCCTTTCATTTAATTTGATAATTTCAGGGTACAGAAGAGATATATGATAAAAGAATATATATATATATATATATATATATATATAATTAGGGTACAAGTGCTCTTAACTTCCATCTTGCACAAACAAAAAACAAAAACAAAAACAAAAACACAATGGGTGTGTTTAGAATTGGTTTTAAAATGATTTTGTTTTTAATAAAAAGTAAAAATGAGATTGTTTTGAGAATTATTTTGTGACCGATTCTAAAATTGCGTTTGGTTGGTTTTTTAAGAGATTGTTTTGAGTATAATAAAAAGTGAAATCTTATTTGTTAATTAATATATTATAATATTGTTGATAAGTATTAAAAAATAAAAATAGAAAAGTGAAAATAACTTTCAACTATTTTCTAATTCCTTTACAAAAACCATTCTCATTGTTTTCGTTTTCAAAACATTTATTAAATAAACGTCGTTTCGTTTTCATTTTCATTTTTTACCCATTAAAATACGTGAAAACTATTTTTAAAAACGGTTATAAACACGCACAATGTGTTGACGTGATCAGTTAAAAAAAAAAAATTTGTATTGACCATCGATATGTGTAGGAACTTCCAATATTAATTAACGACCTTTAATTTGATGTAGTTAAGGCTCATGCGATGATATCGGATAATTTGACAGATTAATATATTAGGTCCTTTTTATAAAAGATTTTTTTTTTCTGGTTCCTCTTATGGTCTTTCTTTCATTTTTATATTTAATGGACTTGGGTAGGAATTCGTTAAATTAAATTACTATAAAACTTCTTCCAAGTAAACATTCAAAATGGTGGTAATCTCTAGTTTTATTTTTCCACGAATTTGACAGCGCTATTCCAACTTTTAATTTTCTCCAAAGCTATCCTCATATAGTCTGCCCTATTTTTGTCATGACTTTTATTCGTTCAGTTACGTATTAAGATAGTTCTTTAATTACTTCCATATCTAGTGAAGCAAACAAAATTCCACACTCTCATTCCCTTAAAAAAAAAAAAAAAAAAAAAAACCCCCCACACTCTAATCACTATAAATACCACCCCACATAACAATCCACAAAACAACTTCATTTCATCATCCATATAATTTCCAAATTAAAAGCCAATTCAACAACCAAAATGGGGTCGGGACGACCTACGGTTTCACTTGTAACATTGTTCCCTTGCGTCATCATAGGCCTAGCCATGCTCCAAGCCTCTAATGCCCAAGACTCCCCACAAGACTTCCTCAACGCCCACAACTCCGCTCGCGCTGAGGTCGGCGTTGGGCAGATGACGTGGGACGACAAGGTGGCCTCGTACGCGCAGCAATACGCCAACAGCCACATCGGCGACTGCAGCATGGTGCACTCCGGAGGGCCTTACGGCGAGAACCTTGCGTGGAGCAGCGGAGACCTCTCCGGCACCGACGCCGTGAGAATGTGGGTGAATGAGAAGGCAGACTACGACTACGGCTCCAACACATGCGCTTCCGGGAAGGTTTGTGGGCACTACACTCAGGTGGTGTGGCGTAACTCGGTTAGGCTTGGATGTGCTAAGGTTCGGTGCAACAACAATAAGGGTACCCTCATTGGGTGCAACTATGATCCCCGGGGCAACTATGTTGGGCAGAAGCCTTACTAGCTAATTAATTAAGGGCTATAATTGATGTTATTAATCAGTTATTACCTACTTATAATTAGCATCTATAAATGTAACGGTTAGATGCATAATGCCTATTATCATGAACTTATGTTGATGAAAAGTTAAGGCTATAAGTGTGATCAAATAACAAAGAAAGTCAGTTATAAAGTGATATGAAATCAAATAATAAATAAAGTCAGTTATAAAGTCACGGCGTTTCATAGTTGTTTGATTTTTTTTATGAATTGCTTAATCCACTAAAGCCGAAAGATAAGTTTCATAGAAGTTGTTAAAACTTCTAAGCCAAAAAGAAAAAAAAAGGGAAAAAAGTACTTGTCCCAATATTCCCAATTTGATAGAAATTGATAATATATATATGGTAATTGTTAAATGGAGACATGAATGATATTTTATATGTGTGATTCTCAAAATATATATATGTGTGTAGATATAGTCACGTTTCTGCAACATCTACAATTTGAAAGGGTAATTGCATCCTGATAATTCAGGATTTGAACATCGTACGTCTTTACGTCGATAATGATCTATCTCGAAGACTCCTTCAGGACCAAAATATGTTTATTCGAGCGCGAACTCAATTTACAGTTTTCTAAGGCCTTATATATTTATGATGTAATTATCTCTTTTCATGTAAGCATGGAGGGTTCGTCGAGACCATATTCGTGATTATATGAATCACGTCAAAAAGTTCAAAAAAAAAAAAGGCAATAGCGTGAACAAGAAATTAAGTTTTTAATCCTAATTTAAAAAAAAAAAAACAAGTTTTTAATCCTTGTTCAAGATTTTTTTAATTACTAATCATTATTAGAGTTCAGTAACTTTTCTTTCCTTATTACCAACTGCCAGTTTTCTTCTTTCTTTTTTTTATATGTTATGTCTGCCTTACAAACCATACTGAATGGGGTTTCATTTGCTTTCTCTTTTAAAAAAGGACACGGCAAATTTTGCTAGAGACGCAATGCAACAGGAGAATTTCGGAGAATTTTCGTGATTTACTGATCATCAAGACAATTCACCAAAGAACACGTCCTAATAATTCTTATAATTAATTTGGATTCATTTCTATATGCTTCCTTAGAGTTATGACTTTTCAAACGGAAAATAAGGCTTATAATAGACCTGCAAGTTACCATGTTTTAGTTACTTTTTCCTTAAATTTTCCACAAGCAATAATCTAAAATAAATGTTTGTTTAAATGGTTTTGTTGGTTCTTATTTTGGCGTTCTTTATTTTCGCATAGCCTTTTTATGTTTTATTTTATTTTCTTTTCCTTTTAATAATATTTTCTGCCTATTTAAATAATAATAATCTCAATAAATGTGCATAACAAAAAACAATATCGTAAGTACTCTTTGTGAATCCGTTTCCGTAACTGTGAAAAAAGGACGCAAGAGAATAGTTTTCTGTGTGAACAAAGACAAAGTGACATAAAGAGTGCGATATATGGATTCGAGCCTTTTCACGTTAAAGTTTGTTGCATGTGTTTCTTCATTTTTATTGTTTTCTTTTTCTTTTGTTGCCGTCTTTTAAGTAAATGTCGTTTTTTTTTTGTATTTTTACTGTCGTTTTTTGCATTTTGTTATAATTTATTCTTTTCTTCTCGTTTTTAGTCTGCATTTTTACGTAATTATTGGTGTTCATTGTTCATAACCTCGTATAATTCTTTTTTTTTTCCCTTGTTGTTTACCAATTTTTTGTCGTTATTCCTCCTTTCATTTTAAAACGTTTGTTTTGTGCTGTCGTTTAAAGTAAATAAATTTTAAAAAAGAATATGCGCATGTGACCAAATATGTCATATTGATAAAATGCAAACAATCAATATGTCACGCTACAGTACTGATTTTTCCAACATAAATTAAGAATAGCTTAATTAATAGATTTTTTTCGTAGGGAAGCTGTGATGTCCTATTCTCTCCTCAAAAATTCCACAAACGTTATCATAGAATGAAAATGATAGACTTTTCCACCCGACAGAGCACAAGTGAACAATAAAGACGAGAAAACATAGTATTGACTGGAAATTAAGAAAAAGGAAGACAACTATAAGATGGTCTTCTTGCATTGACAACTTAGAAAAGAAAAAAAAAAAGATAAAGCAGCACTGCTCTGTGTGATGTTGGAATAATAAAGTAATGTCTTTTATTCCTTTTTGGCGGCTTGTTTACTATATTTTATATATACCATGTATCTTAATAAGCTTATAAATATATATATATATATATATGCCATATGCATTTTTGATGTTCTCATTATCAAGCTAAACAACCAGTATTACAAGAGAGGAAATATATATAGCAAAAAATATCTTATGATGAAGCCATACAACCAATATTATTACATTATGCCATTATTGGATTCTAATTATTACGTGCATTAATTCCCGGACACTGACTTTTCCGACAGAAATTAAGTCTAGATGACAGCGCCTGTCTGAAAACGTAAATGTGAAAACAAAACGTTAACATCGGAGAATACATTTCAACGTGACAGAGAACAAGCTAGCGAACAAAAGACTAGAAAAATCACTGCAAGGAAACAAATTGACTAATGGAAAAGAGGAAAAAAAAACAGGGAAGAAAAACAAAAATATTATCTCCTTACTGTTGATAATGAGTTGGAAAAAACAGTTAGGAAGAAAAATATGATCTTTTGCAACGGTTAAAAATGTGTGGATCTAAAGCTAATTTGGTTTTTTTTTTTTTCCAGTTTATTCTTTTCACAGATAGTTAATCATCTTTTCTTGTTGTATTTTGTCCAAGATTGGTCATTTTGGAACTCTAGTGACTCTAATAATCTTTTCAGTATTAGAGTGGCCTTGGGTCGTTAAACAATATAGTTAGTCGATCGCTTAATTATGAATTCAAGGTCGTTCTTTGCTATTACTTAATTAAAATTCCATAACCATACCATTATGCACACCCCTCGTACACATTTTACAACGGAATAACGGCTTTTGCGCAATAATACCTCAACCAACACATCGGTGACTCCATAGCATGGTGCACTCCGGGGTGCCCAACTATAGCGAGAACCTCGCGATGATAGGCAGCGGCGGAACCCTAACCGGCAGCGACGCTATTCTCCCCGGGGCAACTATATTGGGCCGAAGCCTTACTACGGGCCACATGCATGTTTTAGAGTTAGTTAGTTAGACTTGTTAGTTTGTTAAACTTACTCAGGAAGTTGTTAGTTTGTTAAACTTACTCAGCAAGCTATTAGTTAGTTTGTATATAAAGCTGAGGCTATGTAACATTATTCTTTGAATGAATGAAAAGATTCATTTTTCCATTCTGTTATTCTTCCCATAATATGGTATCAGAGCGTGTTCTTCCGCTACCCAAATCCTCTTGATTTTTTTTCCATTCTCGATTTCCCTTTGATTCCTTGTTCATACAAGCGCATTCATGGAGTCTTCAGCGTTGCCGTCTTCCGGTTCCTCCAATTCACAACAAGGCAGATCCGTCATTGAAGATCCGATGAATCCTCTATTCCTTCATCATTCTGATAGCCCAGGGCTTGTACTTGTTTTGTAGCAACTTACTGGTGACAACTATACATCTTGGAGTCGGGCGATGATGATTGCTCTATCTGTGAAGAACAAACTCGGATTCATTGATGGCTCCATTCTGCGCCCAGACGGTACAGATGTAAACCTTCTAAATTATTGGATCCGGAATAATAACACAGTTATTTCTTGAATTCTTAATTCTATTTCCAAAGAAATTTCTGCTAGTGTGTTGTTTTCCGATTCCACCTTTGAGATCTGGATTGATCTTCGAGATTGATTTCAACAAAGTAATGGCCCTAGAATTTTTCAATTACGCCAAGAATTAGTGAATCATGTCCAGAATCAGCAATCTATTGGTGTGTATTTCACAAAGTTGAAGGCGTTGTGGGAAGAACTGAGCAATTTCAGACCTTCATGTTCTTGTGGAAAATGTTCTTGCGGAGGAGTCAAGGAATTGAATCAATTCTATCAAGCAGAGTATGTTATGTCCTTCCTTATGGGATTAAACGACAGCTTTGCTCAAATTAGGGGACAACTTCTTCTTCTTGATCTGTTGCCTCCCATCAACAAAGTTTTTGCTCTTCTTTCTCATGAAGAACGTCAACGCAGTGTCGTTTCTCACAATAATTCAAGAGTGGATTCTGCTTCCAGCTTGGCTTTTGCAACCAATCATGATAGTTCTAAACGAGCTAATCCTACTAGTTCTGTATTTCAGAATTCTAAAAATAATAGGGGACAGAGAAAAGAGAGGCCTTTCTGTACTCATTGTAACTTTCATGGACACACCGTTGAGAAATGTTACAAAATTCATGGGTATCCACCAGGTTATAAGCCTAGGCCGAAGTTTCAAAATGTTGTTGCCAACCAAGTATCTGATCAGCCTGATTCTCAAACCGGTTTGACTCCCGAAGATGGAGCTCTATGAGGCTTTCTCAAAACTTTGAGCAATAATCAATATCAGCAGTTGATGACAGTGTTCTCTGGTCATATGGCCACTTCTATGAAGGACCTTACTCCAACAAATGCCTCGTCTTCTTCAATCTTGACAGGTATTTGTTCTTCTGTTTCAAAGAGAATTAGCTTTCCTTTTTCATATCATTGGATAGTTGATTCCGGTACGTCAAGCATATTTGTTCAAATGCCAACTTGTTTCTATTCATGAGACCTCTAAAGGATTTTACTGTGACCCTGCCTAATAACACTTGAATTGCAGTCAGTTTGTCTAGAGATGTACAGATTAATTCTCACTTGATTCTCATGAATGTATTGTTTGTTCCTCAGTTCCATTTCAATTTACTCTCCGTTAGTGCACTTATGATTGATTCCCAGCTTGTAATAAGCTTCTTTCCTGACCACTTTATCATTCAGGACTCCAACAATCAGAAGATGATTGGCAAGAGTGATAAAGTTGAAGAGCTATATGTGTTGAATACGGAATCTTCAACTCAAGAATTCCTTTCTGAGCCTTTGAGTCATAAGAATTTTTCAGTTTCTAATTCCGTAGCTCACGTAAATAAGGTGTCAGCTCATGTTTGGCATAGAAGACTTGGCCATTTGTCTTTCAAACGGTTGAGTACTTTGGCTCCTCAATTACAGTGTGATAATTTCAAGTGTAATAATGATGAACCATGTTATATCTATCCTCTAGCCAAACAAAGACGTTTGTCTTTTGTTTCTC